GTGTTTTTTTAGAAAAAATAGTTTGACTTTTAAAATGAGGTGTATATGGGTTGTTTATTTAGCAGCTACCATAGATAAAAAGGTCAATCACTTATCCACTAGTTTGTGCCCAATTTAGTTGAAAACAGTTTGTGATCACACAGACTTTTATCAATTCCACTTATGAAGCAATGATGATCAACTTGCAGATCAATTTCTCAAAAGCTGTACAATGGTGGGATTCTTCAAGACTTCAACCATCTTGAATAGATTCTTGGCCCAAAAACATATGGTTCATAAAAGCGTGTAAAGCTCCCAATTCTACCTTCATTTTCTATCTTTTTGACCAGGGTCCTAGAACACCCCATTATTTCACAATAAAACCCATCAAAAAGAGAGTCTTATCACTTATGACCCTTTTTCCATGTGCTCATGTATGCCACTTTCACCTATATCAAACTATCAATCATCCAATGTACGTATTATAAAGCACAATATACTATTTGGTATAACAACGCAAAAAAAAAAAAAAATAACAATTTTAATGCTCCAAGCTTGTATATATAACGTATAATTACAGCAAACAATTATATGCCAATTTCTCTACGAATGCTATTAACATTCTAACATTTTTATCAGTCTCACTAGAAAATCTCCATGTGTATTAAATCTCCATGTGTATCATCGTCGTCATCATCATCATAGAGTGTATTGATTAGAATCAGGGAAGTATTTGGACAGGAGAAAATGCTTCAGTTTTATCACAAGAACAAAAATTCCATAACATGGTATCTGCAACAATGCTACTAATAAATACCTGCATCAATATATATCAAAAAGAGTTATTTAGAAAGTTTTTTCTTGATGAAAACACATGCACACACACAACACCTTCACTGTGTGTTCTTGTAAAAGAACGTACCATAATGGAGCAAATGAAGATGCGAGATCAAGAAAAGGGTAAGGCCACCTGTTTAAGATTAAAATCATGTCATTGGTTAGTGATTCCACTTTAAAAAGGTTAAATGAATTACTTTTATTGATTAGTTAATTTATTATAGACTTATAGTATCCTATTTTTTCCGAGTACAACATCGTTTTTTGAAAAATCTACAATATTTAACAATTTCATCAATATACAAAATATTTTTCATGGCTATAACTGGATAGATTTTTCAAATTGTAATGTCTTAAGAAGAAAAAAAAAGTAGATTCTGTAAAACACAAATAAATGAAAATTTAGAGAAATAGAAAGAGGGATAGTTTACCAAAGTGCTATGCACGCATGAACAATCCACTGGAAAACAACAAAAACACATGTCCAGAGGACAAAGTATGCAATTCGAAACCAAGGAAATCTCTGAAAAATAACAACTTTTTAGTCTCATAATACAAAAAAAAAAATCTAAATTCTATTTTAATATCAAGAACTGGAAAATAAAAATAAAAATACTTACCAAGCTATTCAATGCAGTGTCACCAAGCAAAAACACAGCATTGATCGAGTGCATATTAATAATGAACTGCAACATATAAAACTCCAAGATATATTAAAAACATAAACCAAATATATATTTTTTCAATTCAAAAAAAAAAAAAAAAGTCACACTTACAAAATTTAAATTATAATCTTTAATGGCAAGAAATGGGACTATGATAAACCAGAAAACGCAGTCAGTAAGCACAACTGCACCTGCTTGCATCTGAAAAAAAAAATGAAATATTGTCATGGATTTTTCATTTTTTGTGTAAAGTTTTTGTAGTTTAATTCGTATTCTTGGGATTTTAATCCTTTTTTTACCTGAAACATGATCTGAAAAGTATACCCCCAAAAGCCGGCGACTTGGCGAGGCTGTCTTCGATTTTTAGCGCCTATGATTTTCCCAGATTGGGGCAAATTGGTAATTTCATCTCTTACAGCTTGCTCTTCGTCTAATTCCTCACTTCTGTCACCACCGACTTTGTTGTGGTATTGATAGCATCCGTAAATTGACAACATGGATCCAATCTGTTCATTTAGAAACATTAAGAACATAATGTGATAAATTGAATTAAAAAAATAAAAAAGAACAAACAGCTTTAATAAAGAAAGATAAAGAGAGAGAGTGTGTAAGAAGAATCGGATGATGTTGATGAAACATACCCCAAAATATATTGTTATCAATGTAAAAGTCCACCTGTAATTACCACCCAAAAAGAATCAAAGTGAAAATATTAGAATCAATATGTTAAAAACATATATTATAAATAAAATGTATAAAATTGAAGAATCAGAATAAAGCCATTCTGATATTTTACTTTCAAAAAGTTATCAGATCTTAAAAAAAAAATCAGGACACAAACAAACACCATAGGATTTAAAAAGAGTTGATAATTATGTCCTACTAATCAAACAAATATCAAAGTCAGGCCCCGAAGGTTGCAGCATATACAATCAGTCAAATGTCCATAATACCCTTTGGTCAATTTTGTCCAAACTTGTTAAACAATGCATAAAGCCATAAACCACTAGTCAAATGTCTATAACACCCTTTGGATTTTTGGAGCAAAATCAATACTCATGTAAATGCCACATGGGTAAATTGGTAAATTACGATCAAAACCGGGAAAGATAGGAGCGTAAACAGTAAACTAATAGTCAAAATAATAATACCCTTGTGGGATTTTTTTTTTTTTTTTTTTTTTTTTTGCAAAATCAGTACTTTTGTAAATGTGACATGGGTAAATTGATAAAATGAGGGTAATTCAAAGCATGTTATAAAGGAGAACTTGAAAGTTTGACTGGATGTAAGAAGAATTTAATATTACCCAACAAGATTCTTGAAAATAAAGTGGAAAAATCAAGAAAACTTACTGTGTGTAGTAGTAAAATATGCTGCCTCCATCAACAATGGCATTTAAGATAATAAGAATCAAGAGCACAAAAAAAGCAAATATTCTGAAAGTCATCAACCAAGCTGGATGGATTCCTTTCAAACATGGCTTCCAAACTTCATCATCATACAACACCCCTCCATAATCATCATCATTATCTTCTTCATCTTCATCTTCATTTCTATTTCTTGATTTTCCATTCAAGGGTCCTTCATATTTTGTTATAAGATATGAAGACAAACACATTGCTGTTAAAACCCATACAACACATAGAAAAACTCTCCAATTTAACCAGTAATTTGAGGTTGTTGTATCAGCTCCCATCACTGGTTGCCACGTGTTCTTTGATCCTCCTGTCAAAAAATCCATTATGGTTTTCGATCACTTGTACACTCTTTTTGTTTCCAATTACAAACAATGTGACAAGAATGATTTTTACTAAAAGCGATTAAACTTAAACCCCAGAAAAAGAAAGGGAGATGGGTGTCGATTTTTTGTGGAATTTCATGTGATTAAAGTTTTGGGAATTTGAAAACTTTAAGGAAGATGAAGTTCATGAAAGGAGGTGATATATAGGAATGAAGGGAGTCCAAGAAAGACAAAAACTGATGCATTTTCTGCAACATTAATGGCTGAAATGAAGTATAACATAAGATTCTAAACTTTAGGATTGAATTTGCACAAAAAGATATGGATTAAATATGAGAGAAATATTGAAAGAAGATGAAAAGATGTGAAGTTGTTAATTGCAAGCAAAGGAAAGATGAGGATACTTACAGGAGAAAGCAAGGAGGTGTCCAAGAAGAAGAAGAAGAAGAGATGCTTTGCTTCTTTGGTTTGGATATATTAATTATGTATTTATATCAATTTAAAAAAAAAAATTAAAAATAATAAATAATAATAAAAAAAGGAGGGTGGTGATGTTGTGCTTGGAGTATAAGCTTCTGTTTTCTATGTGTTTTATATGGGAAGATTTTGGGGAAGAGAGAGCTCTGTTTTATGTGTAGTCTTATTATGTCGAAATTCTAATATAAATATAAAAATATTCTTCTCCCATGCAATTATTTTATTCTTTTTTCATGGAGGAGTATTTGTCACCTGAGTTTTTCCATGAAACTGAAGAGAGACTGTGGTGGGGCCATTATTAAAGTGCTTTTGAATGTGGATTTTGTGTTGGATTTTGCATTTTTGCTTATGCGTTGTACCCCATATCTTGATTTTGTAAAAACTAACTATTTTTTTAATGATATAAAACTTTTAGTGTTCGAGTTATATATAATATTAATATTTGAGTTTATTGTATGTTTCAAATATTTTTTGAAGCTAAAAAAACATGAATGTATCCGAAAGTCAATAAGCCTAAACTATTTCTATGTTTTAGGGAATAATATTAACTTAGAATCTTGTGAAAGAAGTTATAATTTTCCATGCTCATACAAGGAGAGAGTAGTGGACCCATAAATTTTTTAAACTTTCAAAAATATCAAGTATTTTCAATATATAATATTTTTTTAATGTGTAAATTTATTACAAAGATATATATATATATATATATATA